TCAGAAAGAAATGGAGCAAGATGGTTAGCACTGAGCAGGGATTAAAGATGATTGCGATTTTCTTCTTTATTTCTGTGTGTTCCAAATTTGCTATAATGAGCATTTCCAGGTTTTATAATGAGAAAGAAGCCCTGATACTTTAGACTTGAGGAAAAATGTGTTTTGGCTTTTTGGAAAATCAAGTTCAGTTTTCCTTAAAAGATATTAAATTAGTGTTTTTGCTGGAAATACTTCAGCTGCAAGTCATGGAATACTCAATGTCGGTTATAAAGTGGATCACGCCTTGGCAGTGACTAGCATTGGTCAGAAACCCTGTCTTTGTATTAACCTGCATTTTATTCATGGTTTATTCAGCAGGAGCTACTGCAGCTCCTGCCATGAGATCCATGTTCAAGGCTGGAGGAAGGGAGAAGTGACCCAGTGGTGATTTTAAAAAATGGGCAGGCTGGGTACAGTGGCTCACACCTGCAATTCCAGCACTTTGGGAGGCTGAGGAGGGCAGATTACTTGAGGTCAGGAGTTTGAGACCAGCCTGGCCAACATGGTGAAACCCTGTCTCTACTAAAAATACAACAACAACAAAAAAAATTGCCAGGCATGGTGGCACTTGCTTGTAATCCCAGCTACTTGGGAGGCTGAGGCAGGAGAATTGCTTGAACCTGGGCGGTGGTGGTTACAGTGAGCTGAGATCGCACCAGTGCACCCCAGCCTGAGCAACAAAGTAAGACTCTGTCTCAAAATAAATAAATAAATAAATAATAAAAATGGGCTCAAATCCTTTGACAGTCCTTTCTGAGAGGTGATGGTGATGTCCCCTCCCCTTGAATCTGGCTGGTGATTACTTTGACCAATAGAGCGTAATGGAAGTGGTACACGGTGAATTACAAGGCCGGGTCATAAAAGGCCATGCAGCTTCCATGGTGGCTACTGTGGTGACAGCTTCCATGGTGGCCAGGCATGGTGGCTTATGCCTGCAATCCCAGTGCTTTGGGAGGCCAAAGCTGGGGGTTTGAGGCCAGGAGTTTGAGAGCAGCCTGGGCAACACAGTAAGATCCTATCTCTACAGAAAACTTAAAAAAAAAATTTTTTTTTAATTAAAAAAAAGTTCACTCTCCAGAAACTCGTCTGCTTCCTCTCAGCTGCCACGCTGTGAGAAGCCCAAACCACAGGGGAAATTCAGAGGCCATGTGGAAATGCTCCAAACAACAGTGCCAGCTCAGCCAAGCCCTCGAGTCACTGCAGCCCAGGTGCTAGACATGTGGGTGAAAAAGCCTCCAGATCTGTGCTGTCCAATTCCGAAGCTACTGTCCACATGTGGTTATTTCAATCTAAATTTCATTAAAATTAAATTAAAGTAAAAATTCAGTTCCTCAGTCACACTGGCCACATTTCAAGTGCTCAAGAGCCGCATGTGGCTATCATATTGGACAGCGCGGACAGCATATTTCCGTCACTGGAGGAAGTTCCATTAGACCTGCTTCAGATGATCCTTGAGTGTTTGAGTCTTTTCAGCTGACGTTCCAGACATTGTGGAGCAGAGATAAGCCATCCATCCTCTTGTGCCCTAAACTTTTTTTTTTTTTTCAGACGGAGTCTCTCTCTCTCTGTCACTCAGGCTGTAGTGCAGTGATGCTATCTCAGCTCTATGCAACCTCTGCCTCCTGAGTTCAAGTGATTCTCCTGCCTCAGCTTCCTGAGTAGTTGGGTTCACAGGCACACACCACCAGGCCCCGCTAATTTTTTTTTGTATTTTTAGTAGAGTCAGGGTTTTGCCATGTTGGCCAGGCTGGTCTCAAACTCCTAACCTCAAGTGATCTGCCCTCTGTGGTCTCCCGAAGTATTGGATTACAGGCGTAAGCCACCATGCCAAGACTGAATTTCTTACCTAAAGGATCCAAGGGCATAATAAAATGGACCTTTTGTGCCACAATAAACTGGTATTTTGGATAGTTATTCATGCAGCAGTAGGTAACTAGAACAAATCCCTCTGATAAGAAAAGCATAGCAACCCTCAGACACCATCTCAGCTGACGTCTGTTTATGCCTTATCTGCAGAACAGTGTCACAATGCTACCTCTACTGCAATGAAGCTGGGGAAACATGCATTCAGCTCTTCCAGCCTCTTCAGTCAGCAAGACAAGGGAACGAGGATGGGGCATGGGAAACGGGTGAGCTGGCAGCAGTGTCTACCACAATTGGTTATAAATATAAAATTATATGCTATTTTAGTAAGCAGAGCTGCATAATAACATATGCAACCCATGCTTTAAATGTATTTAAAGTACTCTAATAACATTTGCTCTCAGAGTACTTTATATAAATGTTCCTTGTACTTAGAATGTCATGAACACTGTATCACTCCTAGAATCTGCACTATAATCTCTTTACTGAAATCAAAATCTTCCTCCTTGGCTAATGGAAAGAAGTTTCAAGATTTGGTTTGAATTTCCTTCATCAAGATAATAGAGAGTGGCAAATTATAAGGAGACATTCTCCCATCAGACCACGTTGCTTCAGTAGAATTGCCTGTTCCAAAGACAAATGGGCTTGTGCAGCGTTATCTAGTTATCTTTTAATTACAAATGTCTGTGTGCCGGTGTCTTCCGGAGAATATATAGCCCTCCACTACAAACCAATATGAAAAGCCACAGGAACCCGCACTGAAGATTCCTCAGACATAACTGCATTGTTTTTTTTTTTTTTTTTTTTTTTTTTTTTTGAGAAATGTCTAGAAAACAACTGGTTTACTTGGTTTTTAATAACTCAATGATTAGTGCATGATCTTAAAAATTAATTTTAGGCCAGGCACAGTGGCTCATGCCTGTAATCCCAGCACTTTGGGAGGCTGAGGCAGGCAGATCACCTGAGGTCAGGAGTTCAAGACCAGCCTGGCCAACATGGCGAAATCCTGTCTCTACAAAAATACAAAAATTAGCCGGGTATGATGGTGGGTGCCTGTAATTCCAGCTACTTGGGAGGCTGAGGAGGAAGAACCTGGGAGGTGGAGGTTGCAGTAAGCCGAGATCGCACCGTTGCACTCCAGCCTGGGCAACAGAGTGAGACTCTGTCTCAAAAAATAATCATAATTTTAAAATGCATGTGCTATGATTTATGTTGCATGACTGTCTAGAAAGAAGGAAATAACAATCACGATAAGAAAATTATGATTTTTTGTTGTTTGAGAAAGGTCTCACTCAGTCACTCAGGCTGGAGCATGATCACTGCTCACTACAGCCTTGACCTCTTGGTCTCAAGAGATCCTCTCTCCTCAGCCTTCCAAGTATGTGGGACTACACATGTGCACTACCACATCCAGCTAATGAAAAAAATAATAAAATAGATACAGGTTCTAGCTATGCTGCATAGGCTGGTCTCGACCTCCTCGGCTAAAGAGATCCTCCCGCTTCAGCCTTCAACGTAACTGGGACTACAAGTGAGCACCACCATACCTGGGTAAATTTTTTTTTAAATAAAATAGAGACAGGGGTTTCACTGTGCTGCATAGGCTGGTCTTGAACTCCTCTGCTCAAGGGATCCACCTGCCTCAAGCCTCCTAAAATGATGGCATTATAAGCATGTGAGCCACCTCGTCCTGGCTGTCTTATTTTCAAATAAAGGTAAAAGTTCGATTCCTTAAAAGTGAAATGAGTCTTAGTAATTACACACCATGTGATAGCTATTCTGTAATCCTGTCTCAATTTACAAGGAAACATAATAAGAATTAGAGAGCTTAGGACATCTCTATCTCAGAAATCAAGGTGTTGTGTGTGCTTGTGTGAATGAGGTAATAATTCAAAGCACTTTCAAGAACGGCGTTTTACGATGATATTGGAATTTATTTTTTACCAAACAATTACCTTTATTGTAAGGCCCCACTGGGAATTGTGTAGAATATAGGGATGTGAAAGGCAAAGGCTGTAGTTTCTAGTGACTATCATTTGCTCAGAGAGGAATACTTGATTGTGATACACTTGGAGCCTAATATCAAAGCTCATTCTTTTTTCCTCCATAAGCCTAATCCCCTGCACAACTGGCAGTTAGTCCTCCACTCCCCTGCGCAATTCCAAAGTAAATGTTAAATAGTAATAAGCCATATGCAAAACTTGCACAAATAACATTTTATACCTCGTGACTGGTAATGTTCAGAGATGTGAATCAGTTTTCCCTTTTATTTGCAATCCATATTTGAAAAAGAGCTACATTATATATGTTAGGAAACTTGAGTTTTAAATGTAAAATTTTTTAATTGAAGGAGACATTAGACATGATCTAATTCAACCCTTCTTGTAGGTGAGAAAACTAAAAGTTGATAGGAACTGGTGTGAAACTCAGATCTCCCAGTGCCCACCCTTCACTGCTTTTTTCCAGTATGCCATGGGGCCTCCGTGTCTGTGTGTGTGTGTGTTTATATTTGGTCTGAAATCTTCTTACACTCCTGGACCAAGCAACAATAACTCATAAACTTTTGACATCTAAATTTCTGACTTAATGCTTTTAACTGCTATTGATATTTAATCAGTACCTATCTGATGACTGCTCTCGTATTTTAAACCTGGAATTATAGATTGAAGACATTCAGAAAAGAGAACTTGTGCCTTCTCTTTAGAGAATTCTCGAAAAGTTTTGACAAAAATGTCTAGGAAAAAAAATTCTTGTAAAGTACAGATAAGTTTGACAAAATTACAATTCATCTATCTTTAGACAGACATTTTACTCTCAGCCACGCCTAACATGCCCCCCAATTATAGTGATATATTTTCCAAATTACAAATCAGGACACATGGGCCAGCAATTCTAGATGTGTGGTACAGTACCATTATTTGCCTAATGGTCTTCCTGAACATGGGGAAAATGAAGTGTTTCTTTTGGTAAAGCATTCCAAGAATATCCTATCTAGTTTCTTGAAAATTTCTGTGCTTATTATAAAATTAAAAATAACTCACTTTTATTAAAGATGGAATTGTCATTATACAAAACAAAAAACACATAATTAAAAAAACAAAACTGAACAAATCATTCATATTTGACGTTCTGATGACATTTCAACGCAGAGGAAGTGCCATTTTAATTTAAATGCTTTCACAGTTTTGCCATACTTTCACAGTTCAATTCCACTGTCGTTTGCAACTAAAAAACATAAAACACCAAAAAAAAAAAAAAAATCACAATAATCAGAGTTTAAGGAGTCACTGAGTAAAACTATGTTTTAGGAATCTGTACAATAAACATGAAATCAGTCACCTGACCACTCCCCACCGTCAGCCCATTCCACAAACCCATCCTCCCTCCCCTTCTACGCAGTGAGCCTTCAGAAATACCCTTTCTAACTGCGGGTCCTTCTGAAAAGGAGAGGCGGGAGACCCAAAGTGGAGAAGGCGGCTCCATCCAGATTTTGCGTCCATAAAGCCAATAGCTTCTAGGCCTGACATGTACAGCGGGTTTGTGCCCGAAGGAGCGCAGCTGGTCTACACGGGCCCGCCCCGCAGACACCGAATCCATGATGAGCTGCGGTTTAACTTCCTTATAGCAGGTTGAGAGTGCAGGCCCCACCGTTTGGAGGGGAAGGCGGCGCCCCAACTGGTGTTTTTCCAGGAAGTGCTCCAAGAATGCGGAGGAAAGGGGAAAGGGGAAGGTCAGGCGATGGGCGTTTCATTCATTGCTTCTTTCTCCCCTTCCCCTCCATCGCTCCCCTCCTCGACTTTCCCCTTTTCCCAGTCCGAGTTTGACGTCGGTCTCCTGGATACCAGGCCGCCAATCGCCTGGTTGCGACGAGACCCGCGCGGCCAATCAGGCGTCGTTGCTACCTGTGAGTAATATTTTTAGCTAAGAGGGACGCTCGATTCCACTCCCGATGTAATTTCGTGTATTTCTCTGGGGCAGGTTGTGAAAAAGGCGCTTACCCGTCCCCCGCCACGAGTCCCTCTCTTACCCTACTCTCTAGGTACCCGCACATATTTCAGCCGAGACTGATCTTCCACGCGCTCTACAGGCAGGCCCCGCGTTTATTCCGTGCACCTGCGTTCCAGCAAGCCCTAGACATGCGCACATGCGTGTGTGTAGACGGGGACACAGATACAGACGCAGCTTGGCCTCGTGTCGCCGCACCCTGAGCCCGGCGTGGGCTGGGACCAGTCGCAGTCGGGGTCACACCGGGAGGCCTGAGGCTGCGGAGGCAGTTAAACTGCCGGCGGGGCGAGAGCTGCGGCCGCCTCCCTTCCCCGCCCCCAGCCCGGCTCTGCGGCGTGTGGGTTCTGCAGCTGCCACTCTCTGGGGGGCGGTTGGCCTAGGCCTTGGGGTGATTAATATTCAATGAACCGGGTGCATGAGTCCCGGTCACAATTTGCCCTTTCTCTAAACCCCCGCTGGGGTGGGCAGGAGGCCGACACGGTTAACTATTCCACGAGCTCCGGGATGCTCGGCCGCAGCCCTGCGCGGAGAGGGCACTTTCTGGGCACCCTGGGCTCCTCCAGCCCCGGTTCTCTCGGCCGCTTTTCCGCCGGCTTCGTCCCCCTCCCCCTGCCCGGCTCTCCGCCTCAACCGGGCGTCAGCCGCCCAACCCCACCCCTTTCTCTCTCAGTGGCACGTCTCCCCCCGAGTCCCTCTCCAAACGTTCTCTTAATTCCGTCCCCGGGCTCCGACCGCCGGTTCATTGGCCCTCCCTGAGCCCGAGGGCGCGGCTTCCCCACCCCTGCGTCCACCGCGCGTCCGGACACGAGCAGCCGGGACTTGGCCAATGGCGTCGGGGGGCAGGGCAGGGGCGGAGCCGGCGGCGGGGGCCGGGGTTGCGGGGCGGGGAGCGCCGGGACTGGCTGCTCCGCCGGGCCTGTGTGACGCGGGGCGGGCGCGCGCACCCCGGCAGAGGGGATGGGGGCGGGGAGGAGGCCATAAAACGAGAGGCGGGGCGCGCGCCGCGACAGAAAGAGCGAAGCTCTGGCCCGGCGTGGAGCGGGCGCACGACGGGGACGCTGGGCCGGGCACCGGGCTGTGTGGAGAAGTGAGCGCGCTCGCCTGACCCCCGCGCCCGCCACCCCGCGCCACCGGCGGCGAGCTCCAGGGCCCGCCCGAGGCCTCCGTCCTCTGCCCTCCGCCCCGCAGCGGCGACGTGGTGCACTCGGCCAGCCCGCCGCTCCCGACCCTCCCGCGCCCCCGCCCTGCCGCGCTGCTCCCCGCCCCGCCGCGGGTCTGTAGTCCAAGCCGCCCCCGAAGCAGCCCGTAAGTATCGCGGGGCGCCGGGCGGGGCCTGCGAGGAGACTGAGCCCCGGGCCCGGGCGGCGGAGGAGGGGGCTGCAGCGGCTTCGAGCCCCGGGCCCTCGGGAGCTCGGGGACGGCGGGGTCGCGGCCCTGGGCGCCGGGGGAGGCTCCGGGACCCGAGGGGAGCGGCTTCGAGGGGCGCCGCGGCGCGTCGGGCTCGTCCCGGGCGGTTGACCTGGGATGGGCGGCCCGGGGCGAGCTGACGGGAGCCGGGGGTTGGGGCACACGGAGGAGCGGCGCGCTCGCGGGGGAACGCTGGGGTCCGAGAGGCCGGTGGCCGCGAGGCCGAAAATGGTGCCGGGGAACCGGTGCTCCCCCATACTCTGGCCGGGTCCCAGGAGCCCGGGGCGGAGGCCGCGGGGCGGGGAGCGGCGGGTCGGGTTACGGCGGGGGAGGGGAGCGGTAGACCCGGCGCCCCGACCTGCTGGGTGCTGGGTGCTGGGTGCTCGGTGCCCGGCCGGGAGAGGTTGCTCTTCCTTTTCCCGTGGCCTTCCTCCTCCCCCTCCGAGGAGGCTCGTACTCTCTTCCTCCTCCACCTCCACCTCCTCTTGCTGCTGCTGCTGCTGTAGCGCTCGGGCTCCGAGGGCTGTGAGCAGAAATCTAATGAGATCTAACTGGCTGTTTATGTAATTCTTCACGCTCCTGCCTGTCTTGTGGCACTGCTTTATAACTACCTTCCACCGAGCCTGAATTTTGCTTGGCTGCACCTTCAAGCAATTGGGCTTAATCAGCTGCCTCTGCTGGCACTCAGGCTTTTGACTTGGAAAGTGTAGTTTGGGGGCAGCCAGGGATTCTTTTTCCTTTGTCACCACGAATATGGAAAATGGAACAGACGAATTAGGACCAACTTGATTTTTAAACGTCCTTTTAAATCAACTTGAGTGTGCAAATAGATCCCTTTCGCAAATATCTTCTGTTTGCCCTTGATCTTTTCTTATCCCCACCCAGTGCTGATCCAGCAAACGTTTAAAGGTCGACCTTATCATACTTGCCTCTCCGGCTGTTACCGTGAGAGGGAGGGAGAGAGGGAGGTTTTAAAAATCAGACTAAAATTCAGAAACCCTGGCCTTTAAACAGAATAATCAATAGTTTTAATTTGTGTTGTTGCTTTGTTATACTTGCTGCCAAATAGGTACTTACCAGATTTAGAAAAATAGACATCGGAAATAAAAGGCACAGAGAAGCTCGGATTTATTATATTGTATGCTCTTAGTATACTTAAGGTCGATAATTTGGTTCTTATTCACTAGGATGAAATTCATTTAGTACTGAATGTCTTTAATTTTAGCGTCATGTACTATGGAAATTAAAATGATTTTCCTAACTCGCCAAATATTTAAATGTCAGTGACAGAGCAGATTTAAAAGTATATATCCGAATTAAACAAAAATGTGAATTCACTGCTTCTAAGTTGGTGAACACAATAAAAATTACCACCTGAAAGTGGCATATGTATATGAGGGGGGAGGATGCTGAGTACCGTAAATATTCTTGTAAGAACTGAGGGGAGACTAATACATATTCTAGAGGGTTTTCTTCTTAGAACTCTATTCAGAAACAAATAATCAGGGTCTTAAAAACATTATATCATCTGTAAACCTACATTTTTTTGTGTGATTTTAAACTTTAATAAACAATTTTTTATGTTTATTGTACTAGTTAACAGTTTTCAGGCTTTCCATCCTAGTAGACATTTTCGTTTTATCCTTAGCAAACTAACATAGGATATCAGACATTTTGAAAGGTGAAATTACTTTGGGGGTTAAAAAAAAAAAGGTCATGGGACTTATATTACATTTATCTTATTTGGACGTGTTTGCTTTTGTTTTAAGGAACAAGATCACTCAAGGTGAAGGATAATCTACCCATACCAGCACTTTGAATGAAAATTTGTTTCTCTGCCACAAACTGAACACTTTTTTTGTTTTTGTTTTTGCTGGGGGAGTCGAAACCTAATTTTGTGGCATAGCAGCTATGCAGCTTGAAATCCAAGTAGCACTAAATTTTATTATTTCGTATTTGTACAATAAGCTTCCCAGGAGACGTGTCAACATTTTTGGTGAAGAACTTGAAAGACTTCTTAAGAAGAAATATGAAGGGCACTGGTATCCTGAAAAGCCATACAAAGGATCGGGGTTTAGATGTATACACGTAGGGGAGAAAGTGGACCCAGTGATTGAACAAGCATCCAAAGAGAGTGGTTTGGACATTGATGATGTTCGTGGCAATCTGCCACAGGATCTTAGTGTTTGGATCGACCCATTTGAGGTTTCTTACCAAATTGGTGAAAAGGGACCAGTGAAGGTGCTTTACGTGGATGATAATAACGAAAATGGATGTGAGTTGGATAAGGAGATCAAAAACAGCTTTAACCCAGAGGCCCAGGTGTTTATGCCCATAAGTGACCCAGCATCATCAGTGTCCAGCTCTCCATCGCCTCCTTTTGGTCACTCTGCTGCTGTAAGCCCTACCTTCATGCCCCGGTCCACTCAGCCTTTAACCTTTACCACGGCCACTTTTGCTGCCACCAAGTTCGGCTCTACCAAAATGAAGAATAGTGGCCGTAGCAACAAGGTTGCCCGTACTTCTCCTATCAACCTCGGCTTGAATGTGAATGACCTCTTGAAGCAGAAAGCCATCTCTTCCTCAATGCACTCTCTGTATGGGCTTGGCTTGGGTAGCCAGCAGCAGCCACAGCAGCAGCAGCAGCAGCAGCAGCAGCAGCAGCCAGCCCAGCCGCCACCGCCGCCGCCACCACCCCAGCAGCAACCACAGCAGAAAACCTCTGCTCTTTCTCCTAATGCCAAGGAATTTATTTTTCCTAATATGCAGGGTCAAGGTAGTAGTACCAATGGAATGTTCCCAGGTGACAGCCCCCTTAACCTCAGTCCTCTCCAGTACAGTAATGCCTTTGATGTGTTTGCGGCCTATGGAGGCCTCAATGAGAAGTCTTTTGTAGATGGCTTGAATTTTAGCTTAAATAACATGCAGTATTCTAACCAGCAATTCCAGCCTGTTATGGCTAACTAAAAATAAGAAAATGTATTGTACAAGTTAAAATGCACGGGCCCAAGGGGGGTTTTTTTTTTTTTCGCCTCCTTGAGAATTTTTTTTTTTAAGCTTATAGTAAGAATACATTCAAGCTTGGTTAAAAGAAATAAAACATGCATCATTTTTCATTTGCCAACCAAGCACAAAGTTATTTTATACTGACTGTATATTTTAAAGTATACTCTCAGATATGGCCTCTTACAGTATTTAAGATATAGCAAGGACATGGCTGATTTTTTTTTATAAAAATTGGCACTAATAAGTGGGTTTATTGGTCTTTTCTAATTGTATAATTTAATTTAGTACAAAGTTTGTAAAATATCAGAGGATATATATATTGTTTCTACGACATGGTATTGCATTTATATCTTTTTACTACAGTGATCTGTGACAGCAGCAGCTTCATGTTGTATTTTTTTTACTGAAATTGTAAAATATCCATCTTAAAGACATCAACTATTCTAAAAATTGTGTACAGGATATTCCTTTAGTGGTGGAATTAAAATGTACGAATATTTGCTTTTTCAAAAAAATGTATTTTCTGTTAAAGGTTTAAAGATTTTTGCTATATATTATGGAAGAAAAATGTAATCGTAAATATTAATTTTGTACCTATATTGTGCAATACTTGAAAAAAGCGGTATAAAAGTATTTTGAGTCAGTGTCTTACATGTTAAGAGGGACTGAAATAGTTTATATTAAGTTTGTATTAAAATTCTTTAAAATTAAAAATGCCTATTGTGGTCTTTGTTTTTAAGTGTTTTCTAACGATCTGCCTCTGGAGTTATGTTGTAAATGCTAATGATGGAAAAAGGCCTGACTCATTGGGGCACGAAGGAATAATGGAAAGCAGTTGCCCTACTGGTGCACCGGCTCGTGGTTTGCCACATAAAAAGTGCTATCAAAATTGAATAGCCTGACCAGTGCTTGGGACAGCTTTGTTTTCTTGCAGCCCTCTTCAGTCCACATTTGTCGACCCCATGATACACTTGATATTAACATACCAGGTAGTCAGCTCTACAGCGAGTTTCAAAATATGCTGACATCGAGGAATCAGGTGATAAGATGAAATTCTTGCATGTAATCTGAGATGATTTATTTGAAATTTATATGGAGAGAGTATTGGATCAGTTTTCTGTTTTTGCTCAGGAAACTTGCTCAGACAAAGCGGCTGACCGAACTTTAAAAAGATTTACATCAGTTTACTAATCTTTAAAAATTTAGCTATTGCATGTAGCTGGAGAACTTAGGATAAAAATCTATTCACAGTTGGACAGATTGTTAAATGTTA